TTAAAATTTGAAATGGTTGTCCGCCATCTTGGATCCGCCATCTTGGATTTCCGTTTTTTTGTTAAAATTACAATTTAAAGCAACTTTCAAAGGGGAAAAAGCTCAGAATGTATAAAAGAAGTATCAAACTAATGTTTATTACCCAAACAAATGACTTTGGAAGTGTTATTTGGAAAATAGAGCAGCATATTTGTCAAAGCAAAAAAGTGACAAATTTTACCCCACCCCTGCCCCCCAAATATTCGATGTTGAAACATTTTGATGTAATTCAAAAACTAGTCCCAAGCAAAGACCATTTTAACAACAAAAAGCACTATAAGTGTAAAAACGCGATCTTAAAACAATAAAATCACCATTTTTTTTAAATTTTCCAAAACCTATGTGTCAGAAACTGGTTGCCATGGCAACATGATTAATCACATGGACATGGTAATTATACCAAAATGTTCCTAGATAAATTTTAGGAAAAGTCAGAAAATTTGAACGTCATAGGTCTTTCGGTGTAGGAGTTATCACGATTTTGCCGGAGGGGGGGTTCGAAAAGCCACCCCCCAGTCTGAATAGGGTTAAATGTCGTGGGTAAAAAAAAAAGTATAGAAAAAATAGCAAAGTAATTGAAAAAAAAAATAGAAAAAAAGTTATAAATACTTATTATGAAACGAGAGAAAAAACAAACAAACAAACCGAAACGAAAAAAAATAAAGATGTGTAATCTACGCGTACACACCAGTCCCAGTCCCTTTCCCTGTGCTGAAGGGAAAGTTGTACATCGACTTTGTAAAATACCAAACCATGGATTATCTGCACAACGTAATGTTATCAGGCAAAGCAACTTTGAAGTAATTTTACCCCCCTGACTTCAGTGTTTTCTTCACAGTTCCGTTTATAGACATCTTAGCTTTAGGGTGTGAAAAAATTGTTACACAGATACCAAAAATTGGTCATGATTCCATGCTGAGAAAACCGATACTTTCGATGTGTAAAATAAACAGCTTATTGAACTTTTGTTGATTTTAATTCTAATAAGTATTAAAATTATAATTGTGTCGACAATGTCTTGCAAATTTAGTTATCTCTTATAATCATTGAAGAGTCAAACAGCATCGGAAAAAAAAAATAGGCCGAGAGATTTTGTTTTTTTCTTTCCCCGATATTTCAGACAAGCCGACCTTCTTCTTTGCTGTTTTTCCTCATGACGGTTAATTATAGCTAAGACAGCTAGTTTAGATTGAGATCATTCTCATGCAAGGTTTATGTCCACCTTCATGCTCAGCCGTTTAAGGCGAGCCTGTTGTGTGAAACCTTTTTTTTTTTCTCGTATGTTTGATCATATGACTTCACATGCACTGTTAAATGCTTTGTCGGGATATTTCCAACCGTTAACTGAAAACAGAGCCGTTTAGGAACAGGAGGTGTGTGAGACAGATTTTGCTAGAATGACAACGAAAACTGAATTTTCTTTCTTTCTTTCTTGTTTTTTTTTTTTGGTGTACAACGTCTTTGCTGTGACGATTGAATACAAGAGAGAATGAGCTTATTCTCTCTTCTTGAATATCACTTCTTAAGCTGAAAAGACGTTTCAGTCTCGAATGTTGACATCTTTGAGAAAAAGCAATTCAGTCTCCAGTTTTTCCTCTAGCCTGCTTCCGGTGTTTATATAGTGTACTGAGTTTCTTTTATTTTTCGTCTAAATGCCTTTTTAGTGTCCGCAAGATATGATGTCCGTTTGTACTAAGGATTCGCTTATTTGCTTTGGTGACCGAGGAGAAGGGGAATGCGACTGGTGTGTACGCGGAGATTTTCATGAATGTTACAACTTTTTGCTATTGAACTTTCTTTTATTTTTATTCATTTTTTTGGTTTAATTTTTTTTCTTTCTTTCCATATTTTTAGGCGCCTATGGGCTCCTGCAGCAGGAGCCACGACATTTAACCGCGGGGATTTCCATTTCATAAATTTGTTACATTTTTTTCTACTTTTCTGTTTTCAATTACTTTTAATTATTTTATTTTTTCTATACTTGTTTTTTTTTACCACGATATTTACCCACACCCACGACCTCTACCCACTACCCACGAAATTTAGCTACACTCGGGTGCGTGGGTGAATTTTGTTCGGGGGGAAGGCGATTCAAGGGTCCAGAGTAATTTTTTTTTTTGGGGGGGGGGAGGGTAAGTCCAGAGTCCAGGGTCCAAGGTCCAGTCAACCTTTTAGGATATGACAAATATTGGGTGAACAAAAGTTGCTTGTTCATGTTCGTAATATGGTAGTCGTGATCTTTTAGTTATCACTGAGGAAGATTGGGGAGAGTAGAAATTACAACCCCAGGGGTAGGCATTAGGGCGAAAGAAGGAGGCGAGGGAAGTTTTGTAGAATTCAGCATTGCGGTTACGCGAGCAAAAGCATTCGTGCACCCAAAGAAACACCTGCAATGCACGCTGTTGATTGATGTAACTGCCGGCGCAAGTTAGCAGGGCCAATATTATTCCTGCTCCTAATTCATTTCCTTTTCTTCACGTAATCTTGAAAGTTACTACTTTCTCGAATCTTTTAACCATTTCCGCATATATTGGTCACTTTGTTTTACTCTAAAGTATCGTGACTTTCATGCCAAAGCACATATAGGCCACCTCCGTTCGTGTGGCTGTTGTTGTTAGTGAAATCTAAGCATTGATCTTTTTGAAGTCTTTTGTATTTTATAGAAGAAACACAGATTATTTGCTCCAAAATACACACTCAACACAGATTTGAACCTAAATGCTTAAACAGAGGTTCAAACAAATGAATGTTAAAACTTAGGGCGCTTTCCGATCCATTTGTCAGAACTGACCGGCCAGACCCTTCCCGTCGCAATGATAATTTCACTTTCAATCAAAACTCTCCAGCCAGATCAGTCAAATCGTAAATAGTATGCACGAAGGAGAACGTTTTTCAGTAAAAACTCTTGGAGAAAGCCGATTTCATTTTCAAACTGACTGGTCCAGTCATGGTCTGCCGGCTAGTTCTGGCAAATGGAAAGCCCCCTTAGTCATGTCCACTGATCGAGTTTGAATTTGGATGTTTAATTTGAAATTTTCTGCCTTTTTCTCATCTTGTTACAAAGGGGTTTCCTTTACATCGAACAAATCACAACAAGAAGGAGACTGCCAAATATCGTACATTTGATGTTTGCAACCGAGAACTTTTGACATAAGAAGAAATCATAACAGAAAATCGAAACTTATCTTTATATCAAAATAAGTTAGTTACACAGGAAGTGTTAGTGGCTTGTTATCATGTTTAATAATCACATGGATGAAAGACGCAAGCGTAATTGCATTTGCAGGAAAATTATCTAAAGGAAACAAACTACATTGTAATGCTTAGACACTATTGTTTTTCTATCTCTTGATATCACTGAAGTGTTGGTTCAACTTGAGTCAGTGGGTTTTGATTCACTACAGAAAAAAGTTTAAGATACAGTGATAAAACCTAATCTTTAACTGCAGTTCATCGCTTTGTAGCCTGCAAACAGCAGACTCATTTCCGGTCGTCGCTTCTGTTCCTCTGAAGGAGGAAGAGAAGCGACGAACGGAAATGCGTCTGCCGTTCGCAAGCTATTTTCGGAGGGAGAGAAGCGACGACCGGAAATTAGTCTGCCGTTCGCAGGCTACTGTTTCAGTGGCGCCAGTTCAATCCCCCGGCTTGTTATTGAAGAGACCGTTTAGCTACCGTGTAGCATGAAATTTTGCGGGTTCTAATTTTTGCGAATTTTGCGGATTGACCTCGATCCGTAAAAACTCTGCTTTTAATGGACTTGTTGTGTATGGTGGATAGGCTTTTGTTTTGTTTTGCTGTTGTTCAGTCCCTTTGTGCAGTAAGATATTACAGTGATTACCGAGTTATTCACGCCATTAAATATGTAAATAGAGTGAACTTTGACTCAACATACCGTAAAATAAAAGTTGAAAATACCATATTAAGGTTTCTTCCACTTAAATATTCTCCTACTTAAACAGAGAATCGCAAAAATTACTTCCCACCAGAAATTTCAGTCATCTCGAACCGCAAAAATTTGTTCCCGCAAACCTCAAAAAATCGCCAATCCGCAAAATAAAACTCCTGCAAAATTTTCATGCTACACGGTATGACTAGGCGGTTTTTAAATTTTCATAATTACTTTTTCTCACGAAACAGTCTGATGTCTTTCTAGACACTTATACAATTACCTTTCGCTATACTCAAATCTGAAAATACTTCGAAATTTTACAAGTTAATAGCAATGGCAACGTCTTTCAAAACAACATTTGATATGAATTCATGCACTTTAGGTTAAAGTTCCACTTAGTAACCGTCAACCGTCAAAATCTCTAAAATTTTTTAACCCATTGAGACATTCATGTAATTGTTGTAAAGACGAACTTAAGAAAACTTGTACTGGCCGAGAAAAATGTAGAAGGGTATGTAAGAAAATATCGAAACTGTTCCGGATCGTTATGCTTTCCATCTGACTAAAGACTGGATTTAGGTTGAAATAATTCTAAAGAAGAATTAGTGGATAGTATAATATTCATCCCTGGGTATTGTTATTCATAACATTAATTATAATAAGGTATGGGGAATCAATCTGACCTGGAACAAGCCCAAGACAGACTGAATTGAATATACTAGGTAATCTGGAACCCGACTTACTCGCTGGGGAGGGTGGGTGGGTCGCCATGCAATCACCTTCGTGTCGGACAAAGTGAAATGAATGGGACAATGCGTGCCAGTGTTTCCTATTATATATACTCATTTGCATATCATTAATTAATCCCCAGGGATGATATTTATAATTCAGATGGAACGTGAATAGTACCTACGATTGCAAAACTCGACAAAATGCCACTTTAACTGGCCAGGAAAGATATGAAGACGTTCAGTTAAAGGTAGCTTAGTTCATGAGAGTTTCGACGACTCATCCCATTTTATCCATGTTATTGACACACACTACGTCTGGGCCACCCGTGCACAAACTGTAGAATTCATTTTCTGGCCATGGGGACGGTGGGGTGTATATCGTACCCATTGGTAATTTGATTTATAGAATTTAAGCTATTTTAACTTCTTTTAAAAAATAAATTCAAAATATCAGTTGCATTCACCCAGTGGGAGAGCTGAAACAACTACATGCGCAGAGTACAACAACGAAGAAGCTTCCCCGAGTCCTTCCAGCCATCAAACACCTGAGCGTCAGGCCAAGGATGTTACACTGGTTTCATCGCAGACGACCTCTAAAGCGAAACGTGAATTGCAGTATCCCCCCGAAGTAGGCACAAAGAGAAAGAGAGAGGAGGAGAGCAATTAAGTTATGTGAACAAAGAGCATTTGCAAAAGAACAGTTGGTACTTTTTGCTGACGAGTTTTGTAGCGAAGCAGAACTCTATCAGGGGCACCCAACGACAATTTTCGGAAGAATATCTGTTCGGAAGACGATTTGAGATCTAGAATTTTCGAAACATTTGTTGTAAAATTTCTTGCTTGCCTGCCTCTTCTAGGATTTTCGAACATCTAAAAAATGGTATAATTGCCCATTTTTAACGGATTTTTACCCTAAAAAGGTCACCTAGAATTTTCGGGAGCCTCTTTTCTGGCTAAAATTTTCGAAAAGGTAAGTTTTGATCCCTATAATTTTCGGATCACTAGACTTTCCGCTAGGAAATCCGAAAAGATGAATAATTTTTAGGGGATAAAAATATGCCTATATCTACCGTTTAAATAGTAAAATACGTTTAACAATGCTATGTTTAAGTGGTTTTGAACTATATTCTCGTTGGGTGCCCCTACTCTATCCTTTACACGCGGACAAATCGTTTGCACAGGTTTCCCTAAGTCGTTGCATGCGAAAAGTTGTGTCTGATTTAGAATGTCTCTTACGTCGAAAGCCTTTACTTTCCCTCAACGTTCGATGTATATATAGACTGGCTTAACTGACCAAATATTACTGTGGCGGGCAAGAGGTGGATCGATCAAATGAGCACTCAAGTATTTTGCCTCATTGATCGAATATCATTCTGCTCTTTATTTAACCGTTTCTGTAACCTTATTCTTTACACATGACATGACCATACAATTTCAGTTATACCTAGCTAAAATTAGTACCAGTATCATTTCCAGTTTCAACGCCACCCGCAATCGTTTCATGTTGAAACATGATCCTAGTCCATCTTAGTAACATGGTTTACTTAATAACACGACGGCAAGTTCTGCTGTTCATATTTGTCAAGTTACTTACAAGCTAAGGTGTGTGTTTATGTTGATTTCAATAGTACTCCAGGCAAAGCTGACAAAGCGAAATAGTGTTGTAAATGGTGTAGTTATTTATTATTATTTTTTTTTTATCTCACTACAGGTTACATGTATTTCAATGTTTCGTTTGTTTTAACTTCATTAGCATACATTACCATACCCAAAAACAAGAGAAAAAACAAAAATATACCGGAGATAAAAAAATAAGTACAACATAGACATAAATCTCAATACTCAGAAAATAACTCGGTTTACTTCTCATAAAGTGACTCTGGTGTGTATGTGTGTGTTTGAGTGTGTGCAGTGTGAGTGAGTTTCAAATTCAAGCGAGGATGTGTGAGCGAATGGAGGTGGGTGTATTCGCGGGCTGTAGCTAAATCAATGTGAAAAAATGATGTAATTCTGATGGACTGCTCCCGGCCGTTTCCTCTCTCCATTTCCTTTATCGATTCGGAAATCTCTTCTCCATTTCGAAATATCGGTCACCATGCATGTTTCACTCTTAACAATCTTGCTAAAGGTTTATAAATACACTGCAGTGTATATTTTTGCCTGTCTGATCGGGCTTAAACCAGTTGTAATGTGGGACAGAAATATAGTATGTACTTATTTTAAACGCTTGGTGGTAGTTTTGTGTAGGTTTTATTAGTACATCGGGCCTCAAAGGTCTTGCGTGTGATTTTCCTGTACAATGAATATACATTGAAAGAGCAAATAAATATTTTCCTTTGCAGCGGTCTCTTCAATAACAAGCCGCAGGGTTAAATTGGCGCCACTGAAACAGGAACAGTTAAAAAGCACCGCGGGTTATTTAACTTGCGATAAAGGCCGTTCAAAGTCTTATTTAGTTTTTCCTTGTAACAAGGATACTTTTTGTCTCACGCTTCATTTAAATACTAATAGCACGCAAACAGCGGCTAAAAAGCACTGCTGGATAGCACGGATAGTTAGAACAGTTGATTTGGACGAATTCTCGTAATGCGGAACTGATCATAAATCACGGAACGTCCCTGAAATGATTCAGGCCTTTAACAGTTGCGTGTTTGAAGCTTTTTGTTTTCTGTCTTTTTTCCTAAAAAGAAAGATAGAAGATTTAAAGGAGAAAAATACTCTGGACGGTCAGGTAGAAATTGGGCTGAACATTCATGACTGAAGAGTAATCGGCTGACCGTTTTCAAATTGCTTTAACTGAAGCACGGTGGCTACACATGCCCGATATTTGGGAAGGGTGTTAAGGGTCTTCAAGATACTAATTGCCCCACAGTCGTAAAATTTAATAGAATTTCTACGATATGGCTTTTCTCTTTGAGAAGTGCCAGGTGATTAACAGAGTGGCTTCGCAGCTAGCCTCCCACGCAGACGTTCTTAGGGGTTCGTCATGCGTTCCTGCCCCACTATAGCCTGCGAACCGCAGACGTATTTCCGGTCGACGCTTCTGCGGTTCGCAGGCCGTAGTTCCACTAACATGTGCTGATTTAGTGGGCCAGGAACGCGTGACGAACCCTTAAGAACGTCTGCGTGGGAGGCTACTTCGCAGCTGACTAGTTTTTGCTTGAGTGGGCTTACAGAGAAACCGTCGATTGTACCTCCTATTTTGGAAAATACAAAAAAAAAATGGTTTTCCTCTGTGATCTTATGACTTCAAGCAGACAAAAGGCGATTTATTTTGAGCAAAAGATCGACAAATTATGAAATATGTTTGTGAAACAGTTTATTGCTTCTTTTATGGTTGAATTTAATGAGGTTTACTTGCCTCATGCACAATTATACGGATGTAAGACGCAAGTGTGATTGCATTTGCAGGAAAAAAGACAATATCGGGCAATTATCTGAAGAAAACAAACTACATTGTAATGCTTAGACACTATTGTTTTTCTATCTCTTGATATCACTGAAGTGTTGGTTCAACTTGAGTGAGTGGGTTTTGATTCACTAAAGAAAAAAGTTTTAGGTACAGTGATAAAACCTACTCTTTAATTGCACTTCATAACTTTATCGCTTTTACTTTATAACATAGCTAGAAAAATCGCCTAATTAAATTCAATAGCGCGAGCGTGCTACAAATTCCCATTGAGCACGCTGGTGACGTCAATAAACCATTCCTCGAGTTGTTGTGAGCTTAGCAAGACGTCTCTCAAGTGCATCCATAACTCAACAGTACACAATGAAGAGTTTACCATATTAATTTGAAGTTAGATGTTCAATTTGAAAATTTCTGGCTTTTTTCCTAAAAAGAAAGATCAGTTGTTGCAAAGGCGTTTCCTTTACATCGAGCAAATCACAAAAAGAAGGAGACTGCCAAATATAGTACATTTGATGTTTGCAACCGAGAAATTCCCACATTCCTTTGTGACACTGGCTTTGTTTAAACTGTTGGCTGGAGAAAGAAACTATTAAGAAATCATGACAGAAAATCGAAACTTAACTTTTTTATCAAAATAAGTGGGTAACACAGGAAGTGTTTACTTAGTGGTTGTTATCATATCAAGACGAAAGACGCAATTGTGATTTCATTTGCAGGAAAAAGGACAATATCGGGTAATTATCTGAAGAAAACAGACTAATGCTTGCTTTTCTATCACTTGATGTCACTGAAGTGTTGGTTCAACTTGAGTCAGTGGGTTTTGATTCACTAAAGTTTAGGGTGCAGTGATAAAACCTTATCTTTAATTGCAGTTTATCGCCTTACCGCATTAACTTTATAACATAGCTGGAAAAACCGCCTAATCAAATTCAATAACGCGGCTGCTCCTCGAGCAACTCTTACGCCCCTTTGGTGCTTTCCACACTTTCCGCGTACTCAATATCGCGACATACGCACGCTGACGCATGAAAAAACTGTTAATCAGTGCTCCTCTGATAGACTGAACCCTGCCTCCTGGGGATTTCGCCTTCTGGGCTAAATCCAGGCGGGGGCAATTATAAAGCTTACACGAACTTATATGTTCATTCCCGGCCTATATATCTCTTTGAAAAAGTTTCAATTTATGTCCAGTGATCCGCCATCGAGAAGAAGATGGCCAAGCATTGTTTTCTCTGTCGGCAAATTTGTTGTTTTGGTTCGTTAAAAGTTTCAACTTCCTGTCCTTTGAAGTTTCTTGCCTGAAGCAAACGAAGCGGTAAACATGCCTTTAACACGGCGGCTCCACCGTTTTCAGCCTGTTTGTTGGAGGAGAATGAACGACTAAAATTACATCATAACGGAATTACAGTTACATTTTGATATGACTATAATGATTTTCAATTTGTTAAAACAAAAGTTATTTTTGTTTGAAATGAAAGATTGACTCATATTTAGCCTTGGCCTATTTTAGTCAACGCACAAGAAACGTCAACTAGGTTTTTTTTGATACATTTTACGTCACAAACTAGAATTCATTTTCGGGCCGTGGAGACTTGTGTATAGCATACCCATTGGTAATTTGATTTATAGCACTTAAGCTATTTTAACTTCTTTTAAAACATAAACACAAAATATCAGTTGCATCACTGTCAAATCGTCCGCTACAAAAACAAAATACTTGAACTTGAGTAGCAAGCCCAATTTTTTTCTGCTCCTAATTAATTTCCTTCATTTTTACGTAATCTTGGCAGGAACGCGTGACGAACCCCTAAGAACTGCGCGGGAGGCTAGGAAGGTACCGCTTTTTACGCATGTCTTGTGATCACTTAACTACCCGGAGAAATATTCGATCGATTTCATTTCAATTCTGTTATACAAGCGGTAGACAAGATGGTTGACTCGGTCGTCTCATTCATGTTGAATGTCGCTGGAACTAAGGTTAGAGAAATAATAACACGATGGCTCAGAAGTCGTGGTGCATTTGCTCAGTCGCTAAGTGACCTCTTAGAAACGGATTTGAGTACCATGAAAAGGCAACTAGAAGCACTGACAAAAAAAGAACTTCGTGAAAGTATTAACCTTTTAGGTCAGGGACTTTCACTAATTCCGAAGGCTAATGACGGACCAAAGAGACGGAGAATTCTGGGTGATCACCCTGATGGAGTACTGAACCCCAGTATTGTAACAACCAGTTTCATCGACGAAGCAAAAGAGAGGTTCAAAGATGCCCGTAAGAAAGCAGGATCAGCCTTTGCTAATGAAGCAATGAAGACGATAGACGCAATTTTAGCCACTTCTATAATGGTTTTATCGCAAATGCTAGAAACTGACGATTTAGCCATGGCATACCAGCTTTGTTTAGTTTACTTAGAACAACTTCATTCTCACAAAGATGTTAAAAAAAGCTTTGAAGATGAATTTAGATATATTGAAGCAAGGGGAAAGGTACAATTTTGGCCAGTATTTGGCAGCATTGACGCTAGAAAAATCCTTTGGTGCGTCTGTAGCTTGAATCGCTTTGTTTTCGATATGGCAAAGGAGACTGGCGATGCTAAAAGATCTCCAGAGCTCTTTAAAGCCTGGCCATTTGTTAAACCGACAAACCACCAAAAAGAAATTGATCCTTTGCGTGATCCAAGGTTAGTCGCTATTTTTAAGCTAGAAAACCGGCCATTTTCTATTGCGCCGTCGTTATTTGACCAAAACGACGCAGAAGAGTCGAGACCTCAGTCACCCAGTGGGAGAGCTGAAACAACTACATGCGCAGAGTACAACAACGAAGAAGCTTCCTCGAGTCCTCCCACCCATGAAACACCTGAGCATCACGCCAAGGATGTTACACTGGTTTCATCGCAGACGACCTCTAAAGTGAGTAAGGAATTGTTTCCCAAGGTAGGCACAAAGAGAAAGAGAGAGGAAGAAGAGGAAGAGAGCAATTAAGTTATGTGAACAAAGAGAGTTTGCAAAAGAGCAGTTGGTACTTTTTGCTGACGAGTTTTGTAGCGAAGCAGAACTCTATCCTTTACACGCGGACAAATCGTTTGCACAGGTTTCCCTAAGTCGTTGCATGCGAAAAGTTGTGTCTGATTTAGAATGTCTCTTACGTCGAAAGCCTTTACTTTCCCTCAACGTTCGATGTATATATAGACTGGCTTAACTGACCAAATATTACTGTGGCGGGCAAGAGGTGGATCGATCAAATAAGCACTCAAGTATTTTGCCTCATTGATCGAATATCATTCCGCTCTTTATTTAACCGTGTCTGTTTAACCTTATTCTTTACACATGACATGACCATACAATTTCAGTCATAGCTAGCAAAAATTAGTACCAGTATCATTTCCAGTTCCAACGCCAGCCGCTATCGTTTTCATGTTGAAACATGCTCCTAGTCCATCTTAGTATCAAATGTTGTTTTGAAAGACGTTGTCATTGCTATTAACTTATACAATTTCGAAGTATTTTCAGATATGAGTATATGGAAAGGCATTGTTTAAGTGCCTAGAAAGACATCACACTCTTTCGTGAGAAAAAGTAATTATGAAAATTTAAAAACCGCCTAGCATAGCTGAGCGGTGTCTTCAATAACAAGCCGGGGGGTTGAATTGGCGCCACTGAAACAGGAACAGTTAAAAAGCACTGCGGGGCATATTTAACTTGCGACTGAACGCCGTTCAAAGTCTTATTTAGTCTTTCCTTGTAACAAAGATACTTTTTGTGTTAAGCTTCATTTAAGTACAAATAGCATGCAAACAGCGGCTAAAAAGCACTGCCGGATAGCACGGATAGTAAGAACAGTTGATTTGGACGAATGCTTGCAATGCGGAACTGATCATAAATCACGGAACGTTCCTGTAATGATTCAGGCCTTTAACATTTGCGTGTTTGAAGCTTTTTGTTTTCTGTCTTTTTTCCTAAAAAGAAAGATAGAAGATTTAAAGGAGAAAAATACTCTGGACGGTCAGGTAGAAATTTGGCTGGATATTCATGACGGAAGAGTAATCAGCTGACCGCTTTCACATGGCTTAAACTGAAGTACTGTGGCTACACATGCCCGATATTTGGGAAGGGTGTTAAGGGTCTTCAATAGACTAAATGCCCCACAGTCGTAAAATTTAATAGGATTTCTACGATATGGCTTTTCTCTTTGAGAGTGTCAAGTGATAAACAGAGTGGCTCCGCAGCTGACTAGTTTTGCTTGAGTGGGGATACAGTGAAACCGAGTGTACCTCTTATTTTGGAAAAAAATGGTTTTCCTCTGAGATTTTATAACTTCAAGCAGACAGAAAGCAATTTATAAAGTTACGTTAACTTCTACTTTCTTTAAAGGTCTCCGGCAAATGCAGCTGATCGTTTGATGCTAATTACTAATAAATCACTAAGAGACGTAAGAGACAAACAAGGAAAAAAATGATATCATAAAAGTTGAGTGAACAGAAAATTTGAACATTCCCTTGACAAAAGCTTTATTTTTTTCGTACATCAGATTGCCAAGTGTTCATCTACGCATATTGAAACGTTGCCTGTTCGTTCAGTTTTACTTCTTTTGCTTAAATCAGCATGTTTTGAGCAAAAGATCGACAAATTATGAAATATGTTACTTTGTGATACAGTTTCTTGCTTCTTTTATGGTTGAATTTAATGAGGTTTAATTATCATTTCTTTCATAGCACAAGAAAAGTTTAGCTTTGAAAAAGACGGAAGAAATAATTACACTGAACAAACCGAAACGACAGGTTGTTAACTTTAATGAGCGCTACTAAATAGAATCGGACCACTTGTTAAACTCTGCCCGCGATAGAAGGTTAATATATAGATTAAGGACATTTATCAATTCACTATTTTCACATAGGTAGACCATAACATATACATACAAACATACATGTTATTTTACTTGTAGTCTTGTACAATAAATAGTATATGAACTATTTCCAAATAATGCACCTTGTTTTACCCCCCCCCCCCCCATCAAAAAAATAAGAATAATAATTTAAAAAAATAAGAATAATGATTGAATAAAAAAAATTGATTAACCGTTGTCTTCGATTTCCCCTGGGACAAGTGTAATACCCAAGGAAAAATTGAAAACAATGCTTCTGCATTTTTTTTGAGGGAGGCGGAGAAAAAAGATGCATCATGGTCTAAATGACAATGGTGAATAGCTTAAAGCGAACCTTGCGTTCTCCCATTTACGCATTTATAATTTACTCCAGACAATGAACGTGGAACCACTGCAAAGAAATCAACCAATCTATACTTTAGGGGAGGACCAAACGACTTTCTGTGATCAATCAAAAGCTAATAACTGGTTAGCGAAAAACCTACAAAAACACGTGACCTCAATGAGATGGCACATGAGCCCGCGAAACGGCTATGACATCCTGATCAGCGGATACGGGCAAATATATTGTCAAACTCTTGGCAATAAGCCAAACTCATCAATTCGAATTATTTTTGACAGATTAACCTTCAAAATTTCTGAAAAAATTGCCCAGCTTTTAGGTAAGATAAAAATACCGTAAGCTTAAGATTTATAAGTTTATCTTTTCCAAAAAAAAATCGTCCTCTGAGAGGACATGTCCTTACTGGTAATGGATAGTCTTTACAATGAAGAGGGGAAATGGCCAGTACCTATAAATGTATGGTCTGGAGGAAGAAAACGTTCACGCCGCGGCCGTGTGCTGCGGGGAAAATTATTTTCCAAAAGGAAAATTTAAATATCATTATTTCATCAAATGTTAATAGCTTGTTTTACTCAGTGTACCTTGTTTTTTCTTTTCTTTTCTTTTCTTTTTTCAGTAAGTTTGTTTCCTATTGCCAATTTGTTTGCCGTGCGTTATCTGTGGGACATATGTAACGCGGATAAATGCTGAGTCGTGACACATCGCGCGGTAGACCTTTTTACTTGCCTTGTTTACGTTCGCACGTATTGCGTGCCTGTTAAAACTTTGAATCAAAACGAGCGAACTCGTTTCTTCTCTACTTACGTTTGTTTGCTAATTGCCACCAATTTAAATAAAGGACGTATGCAAAGGCCATATCATCCATGATTTATATTACCCTATTCTTACCTCATCCACTTGCTTGGTGGCCTTGCTTGTTTCCTCTTCCATGAGTATATATTTTATGCAAAGTAACTTCATCTCTGCTTTGTATGGGACAGGAAAATGTAGCTTTTCAACATCACGTGATCCTTCGAGTTTGACTTTATGCAGAGGGACCACTTAAGATTCCGTACAAAACTTTAAGGCAACTTGCGTTCGTATTATTTTTCATTTGGCGTTATCCAATTTATTTAAATTAATGTTTGGCCACTAAATGTGGTTTAAACTTTGTTTTCTGCTTCTGTTATGGTCATTCTTAAAGGCATCTTCGCTTTGAAATGCAGGCCCAGGTTGCGGTTCTTGAGGCTCAGCATTGAATAATATATTTCTGTTGTTTTACTTCCCCAAGCTTCGGAGCCAAGTATGAATTTTCATATAACGAAAATTGATTTAGCGAGAAATTGTAAATATTATTTTGCCACTCACAGTAGTCTCTGTCCCTACCTGGTCCATCAACATTTCCAGGTTGTCCCACGATAGGCCCGTCTGGCTTTTGTAGTTCTATGAATGCGTGTCTGGCAGGGGACAGCAGTGTATTGGTGACCTGAGATGTAGGTATTTTTGACCAAGTAACAGACCTGACAGGTCAAACTTGGCTATACCCTACGGATCCCATGGCTTGTCACGGTTGCTGAACGGGTTGTGAGTAGTGCGGCGACCTAACAACAATAATCATAGCACAAGCTCACTGAGCTCATATCTCTATTTTCCATGATTTTCCGTCGCTGGTATTTTTTAACCTTGAATAGGGGCAATTGACAAATGGTAAACACAGGATGTTTCGGTGACTTCAATAGCAACCAAGAATCCATTTTTTGGAAATTCACACCTCACGAGCAGCGCTAATTGTTAACCGTTTTGTGCCACTTGTTTGGTTCACATCCCAAGTGGTTCCTAACTTGTGCCCAGACACCACACTACTCATTTTGCACAGCGTGGCCGAGTGGTCAGCGCGTCGGACTCGCAATCCCGCGGTCCCGGGTTCGAGCCTCGCTCTGGCCACCTGCTGGATTTGTGCTCGGTCGTCCCGAGTTCTAATTCTCGGCCACGCTTGTAAATAGCCAACTGGTTGTTGTCTCCTGCCAGTTGGGGTTTTTAATCCTGTTATGTTGTATTTGAATTATTTGTTTCTAATATTTGAGTGGAGTGCCTGTAAATTAGCTGGACAAGCTAAGTGCCCTTTCCACTATAAACAAGCCTTTAACCTTTTTAACCTTTTGTTCCTCGTCGTTCTTCTAGAGCAATTTAATGAAAGTCATCCGTCATAAATCAAACTGAACTGGTGAAGGTGCACTTTTGGTATTAAAAGTTCACTGATCGACTTTTCATTGAGCGGCACTGTTTCTTTACGTTCTTCCTATTTTTAATGGTAAAAAGGCTGGTTCGGTCTTTTTTTTAGTAAGAAATTACTCTAGAGATCTTCCATAAAACAACTGTCGTGATCTGTACAAACTCGCCAATCCAGTTACCAATAACTCTGTTTGGCTAAACAACGCATATTAAACCTTTAAATTTGGAGATTAGACTAAGTACATGTACAATCAACTCTCTCTAAGATGGACATCTTTATGGGACCGGCACTGTGTCCACTTTGGAGAGATGTTCTTCTCGTAGAGAGTCAAAAAAAGGGGAGTAAAGAAAGGCAGGGACCAACTCTACATGTAGGTTAGCCTACGAGCAACTTCTCCGGGGCGTTCTGGCGGCGGGGCGGGAAAACGAAGGAGAGCTTGCAACTACGTCTTTGGAATTAAAATTCAGCCTCCAATTTCCCCGTGGCTCCTCGTCGAATGAGCTGTCAGATTTCCGCCAATCAGCGTGAATTTAAACAAACATTGAAAAACACGTGCCAAGAGTAATGACGTCATTACTGTCATCTCCGCTAGTCAGCATTTCGCATCGATTTTTCGATGCAGATATTCAAATTCCAGAGACATAGTTGCAAGTTTTCCTTCCTTTTCCCGCCCTGCCGCTAGAGCGCCCCGGAGGGCTTGCTCGCAGGCTACATGCAGGTTCCCGTTATACCGAGGTGTTAACGTCTTGTGGGGGTGTTCGTTAAGAGAAAGTCGACTGCAGGTCGAAACTCCTCTTATACCAAAGAACTGAAAACGTTCGCAGCTGTAACTTTTTCGGTTAATTCGCCAGTACCTGCCACAAGGCTAACGTTATTTATCATCTCATCCTGGATTTTCGCCGAATAAACTTGGTTTGGTTTTTTTTTGTTCTATCTTACGATCCCTATCATGGACCTGAATCTGAAAATGGGGCCCTTGAAGATATTTCGCCAGACCACCTTTATCTAATGTGCCTAGAATGACCACATTTACATCTTCCCAGAGCACATCGCTGCCTTGCTGTCGACCGGTACTTTGGTGAACAGGCTGTTTGTAAAATTGGTATGAATCGTTGGCGGGCTTGCATCTGAGATAAAGAAAATAGACGTTATTAGTAAGATCATACAAAACTTTTAAATGTGGCTAAATGAAATTTAGGCAAAGTTAACCTCGAAGCAATGCTGGTCAGCCGTTTTCCCACTGAGAGCTGAAAATTTGTGCCCGATACACCGAATGGTTTTGGAGAAATTCTCTTCTAAAAACTCGAAATTTTACAGAGAATTTATGGCTCATTATGACCTTTTTTGTCCTCCAGCAATTTCTCAGTTTTTAATGACTGATATTTCCTTCAATATTGCTTGCAAAGAGCTGAAAATTGCACAAATTGCTCAACTTAATCAGCTCTTTCAACTTTTGCATTTAATTCATATACAGTATATACGGCCACGGCTTCTATGAGTTAAGTCGTATGCTAATGAGGAAAAATGTAAACAATGACGTCAGCCAAGGTCCGCCTAGAATGTAGAAGCTAAGAGTTTTACAACGTCATTTCCCACCATATTCTTAAGCCATGCGTTTGCCTTAATTGCAGGGTTATTAAAACGGCTTTTGCGCTCACCTTGGGATAGGACGCTTGGGTACTAGACCACATTATCCTTATTGGGAAAAACAAATTTATGTGAGCGGAATTTGTCCTAAAAAGGATTTTGCACCCAGTTATTTTGTAAGAAGCCTCATGCAAAGGGTCACTTTCGTACCTCGTTTATAAACAGATCATAAACAAAGTAGAATTTATAATCGTAAAAAATAGCCATGCATTTTTTCCTTTTGTACAATCCCATTCAATTCTACGAAACCATACACAACCAAAAAATAGCATCAAGTCAAGGGGACCAGGAAACGCGTTTGAAAAGGCGAACCTAGATTAGAATCTATCATTTTCATCTAATTAAAATACGCTGTTTAACACCGCCCAAAGCGCATTTTTAACGCCGCCAGTAAATTTAGGCCGAAGGACAGGAGTAACTTACATTCACAGAGAAACAAAAGGAACTTTTTGATTGGATGAAAGTGGCGCCAGATTTTCCAGCCAGTCACATAGCGTAGAAGTGTAAACCAAAGCAATTAAGAAATCTGATAATCATTTTTCAATCTCTTTCACAAAACTGACGTAATGGAGTGGAACCTGAATACTTCTAATACTCCAACAACCGCGGGTGCCTCGCTGGCAACCGCTTGATAAAGGTTCGAAGTGAAGAAGTGAGGAGAAATGTTGGATCAATTTAGGTTCCTGGGAAACTGTCCACCTACCCCTTCCCTAATTAACCCAACATTTTGCCCCAAGTGAGAAGTAAGTGTTAATGTTAACTTAGGGAAGGGGTAGGTGGGCAGTTTCCCAGAAACCTTTAAAGCGACAGGTTCACGGTTCAGCGCATGCTCATTAATTAAATTACTTTTTTCCAATTTATTATTAATTCTATCGTTTAATAATCCCACTCACATGTATCTCAGCACTCTCAGAGTGTATTTCAAAGTAGAAGTGTATTTCAGAGTGACCTGAAGTAGCATGGAGGTGTACTAAAATCGAAGAAAAAACCAACACTGCCAACGTTGAATTTACTGTTGACCAGAAGGTTTTAATCCATGGTTAATGAATTTACAGCTGTTTGCGCATAAGTTGATCAAGTGACTGCCAGGGAAGTGTGCAGATTGGTTCTTTGACAACATTATGACATGATCATATTGCTTGCATAGACGATACAGCTTGTTTAGGGAGAAAAAACGCATTTTGATTAATGAGCATACGCTGAACCGTGAAACCTTGAAACCATTTAATACGGGGATTCCCAAATGCAGGTTTTAATTTGATGCAATATCAGGCAATCGAAATCACCTTCAAAGATCAACTGAAAACGCTTCAATTGTACAAAGAAAAGACAAGTAAATCTTTAGTTTTAAGGTATTTTTATTGACAGCCTTGCTGTACGCCCTGATTATTTTTATTCAAGGCACTATACTTCAAATTTGCCGTATCCATAATACGTATTTCAAACCGAGGGTAGATTGTCATTAATGAAAAAAGCTCTACATGTGGTGTGAAGAGTAATTAAATTGCCATGGAAATAATTGTTTAAAACTTTCGTTTGTGCATATACAGAGATCATTTGAAATAAATTTATGACAAAAAGTCTGAACGTTTTGACGTCCTTTGAGCGCCTTTAGTGTTGAGGCATCTTCAGATTCCGCGAAATAAATTATTAGTTATAGAACATAAAAACTCTGTGTGTTTTTTATAATGTGACTTTTTTTTTTACTGTAACGATTGAACTTCCTGAGGCACTGTTAATTATGCTGCACAGGGCGGTTGAACTTTCCACTCTACGGAGAAAATCGCGAGGTGGGAAATGAACAATACTTTAAGCGAAACGCTATTTGTAACCTGCTTGTTTCATTTTTAAATTTTTAGTGGAAAATTTTAAATTCTTTAAAGATTAAGCTTTTGCCAATTTCGAAGAGAAGTGATACTGCCTATTATTTTCAGCTCAGTTCTGAGGTTACAAGGACAATTGAAAGCACACCTAAGATATATTTAATATACGCGTAAACAAGTGTTAGCTGCAAATGTCCACCACAGGAAAAAGATGATTGTTCCTCTCTTCCTCTGTTAACGGTTCAATAGGTCGACGGCAAACAATGTCTTTGTCTTTATAGTACAACCTGTTGGAGAACAATTGATAACCAAAGTTATTCTCAAGAATATTGTGAAGCTTAGCTTGAGTTCTTTGCTAAGTATCATTTGTTCCGGTGACAAGACAGGATAGAATACGGTCGAATTTTTACTAACGGCAACTTCGCTTGTCCCGGCCTGGCAGACAGTCAGGAAAAGGTTTGTTTATTGTGGATGTGCTCTTACATTACCAGACAGTTTACAGGCACAACACTCAAATAATAATCAAATATAGTCAACTCCCTTTATAGAGGACACTGTAAACACCTTGAGTTAGTGTCCTCATTAGCAAGAGTCAGTAATAGAGGGGGTTTATCTCGGTCAAACATCTCTAACATATTCTTCCCTGGGATTTATCTGCTGTCCGTGTTATCGGGGTGTCTGTTATAGCGGGGTGTTCGCAAGGCGAGAGTTACTTATCCACAGCATAGCGATTTATCCTTTCCATTTTGCTATCCATCCCTTGAACAACCGGGGCTTGGTTTAGTCCTCCCCCCCCCCTCCCCCACCCCCACTCCTTTTTGCATACTAGTCACTAGTTATTGACAGCTTCGACCAACATACCTAAAATCATGGCCCTTTAGGCTCTTAAACTTCTCATGTTCCTGATCCGCTATAGGCACCTTATTCCTCTCCAGTAACCAGCCCTCCTTTTCAAAAGGTCCCGGGTAAAATCCTCGCTTCTCTTCTTCAGTGCATTTCCTCCTTATCGGCTCTAACCTCCCAGTTTTTCTTGCTGGCGTATCAACGTTGGGGTTTGCAACGACTCCAAGTGAGGGAATTTCCTCTAGCGTAAGTCCTGCTCGCGACAGCGATAACTTTTTCGGAGAGTTTTTAAGAAGTCCTTCCAGCTTTGAAAGCTGGTTAGAGGCCCTAGGACCGCGGTCCTCGAGTTCAGTTTCTGGTAAACAACGATGCGTGCGAAAGACAATGTCGTCTACCACAATTTTTTCCCGCCACTGACGCGTAAATGCCAATGCTGCGTCACTCTGTTCCTGCTCTTTTGTGTCGCCTGCCGCGTGAACAGAGAGCACTGGGTTCTTGTCGAAGAAGGGAGGTGGAACAGAGAGTAAATTCAGATCACTGTCACGATACTCCCATGGAAAGTTTTCCCTGCAGGGTGAAGAAAATAAAGTCTCAGACTTTTGCCTTCAAAGACGTTTAACCTTTGACATCTCCATCAAGTCCCGCCAAAAGCATGCATGCCACATGCAAGAAAAATACAAAACGACTGCAAGCTACATGCAAACCACGTGCAAGCTCAAATTAGGAAATAAGATAACCAGATGGGATATTTTCTCATGACGTCAAGGGTCGCCATGTTGTAACTAGATTTGTGGGAGTTACGCTTTTTTAAGGGGGGGGGGGGGGGTACCAGTAAAAACGCTTAATATTTTGCAATCGGGAATCGTGCTACATGATGGTCCCGGAAAGTGAAGTCCCAAAGAAGGCTGTTGGTATGTCGGTGACTGGGGCTAAAGTGTCCAAAAATCTGGGCGGTCAACATCGAGTACAAATTTCTCACAGCAAATCAGAGGAGCAAAGATTGCACTCCTAGCAGTGAAAGAAGCTTTAACTACATAACTCGTGTACTTACCTGTCTACTGTAGGCTTCAAAATGTTGGCGTGCAAAATATTTTCTTTCCATGGCTGAGAAGAAAAGAGAGGAAAAGACATGTTAATCCTATCATCCGTTAAACCGTTCTCGAAATTTAAATTTAAATTTTAACTTGTAATACTATCATTGGTTGTCTTTACACTAGGCTGTTAAGTAAGACTTAAGAGTTGCTAAGTTTTACTTAACCAAAAAATACGTGTGAAGGCCTAACTAAAATCTCATTCCGACAAGTAACCTTACTTTGCATCCCATTAAAGTCGGAAAGTTGAAACGATTCAAGAAAGTTTCAAGTGACTTGAAAACCATCCTTAAAACCGACTTAGCGAACTTGCGTTTCTAAGCTTTGAGAAAGGCGAAGCATGTCAATCAATCTTAATTATTTTGTGTGGGAAACTAGGCTTAAGTAAACCTGATGTAAAATAGATAGCTTGAGTGTTGAAGCTTTCTTTCAGGGGCACTCAACGAGAATATAGTTCAAACAACTTAAGCATAGCGTTATTAAACGTATTTTAGTATTTAAACGGTAGATATAGGCATATTTTTATCCCCTAAAATTTTTCATCTGTTCGGATTTCCTAGCTGAAAGTCTAGTGATCCGAAAATTATAGGGATCAAAACTTACCTTTTCGAAAATTTCAGCAAGAAAAAAAAGCCTCCCGAAAATTTTAGGTGACCTTTTTAGGGGTAAAAATCCGTTAAAATGGGCAATTATACCATGTTTTAGAAGTTCGAAAATCCTAGGAGAGGCAGGCAAGCAAGAAATTTTACAACAAATGTTCCGAAAATTCTAGATCTCAAATCGTCTTCCGAACAGATATTTTCCGAAAATTGACGTTGGGTGCCCCTGTTCTTTTACTTGAAGAATTTACAATTTACTTCTCTTGAAATATTTCTTAGCTTATTTAGGCTCTAGTATAAAGACTACCATTGAGGTCCCCTCCTTTCATCCCACCACCAGGCCATAAATGCCAGTGTACATCAAGGTTTGAAATAAGCGCTTCACCGCTCACCAAATGCGGGCTTCTTAACCTGATAATGCATTCATCAAAACGTTGCTGTAGTTTTAAGTTAGCTTTTTCTTTTGTAAAGGCGAGACAGTGCCAGCATATTAATTTGTTAACACTCATAACTTATTCCACATCAAAAGAAAGTGTAAAAAGGCAAGGACTCCCCAAAATCTTCGAGTTTATTGGAACTCTTGAGATATATTAGTGAACTTACGAAACAGAACGGGAGAGGAAGAAGACGACAAACCTTGTGTGACAAGCGTGACAATAATTTTATTTTAAAAAACTTTCCGCCAAACTTCACCCTCTTTTTAACAGATCCTATTGTAAAAGACCAGAAAGCATTAATGGGAAGTAAAGATCATAACGAAACGCGCAAGTAATAACCATGTCACGTTTGTCACACACAAGCGTTTTGCCGTCCTGTTGTGTAAACTCACTATTACTACCATTAGGCCTGCTGGGTAAATTGTGGTCCAGGTAGCGGACAATTCTCGTACCTTATTAAGTTCGTCCCCCCGAGCTGAGTCAGGTTTCTTAGGGTGTACGTTTGAGACCATCGAGGTCTTTTTTCCAGGGAATATAAATCCTTTATTAGTTCTCCAGAGTGCTTTGGAATCTGTAAGTTCTCGTTTCTTTACAGTCTGTGGGTGAACGGGGAGAACTGTAGCAGAGTTGTATAAAGGGCAGTAGGTAAAACGTCTATCTTTCTCCTACGAAGGAATAAGTAAAATTAGCTTATTCAAGCGACGATGTTAAGTTTACACCTTACGAGCCGAAGTGGCCACAGCCCGAACTCCTGAGCTAGTCAAACTTGTTTTCTCTCGTAAAACTGGTTTTTCGAGTGCGGGCACAAGTTTCTATACAATGTGGTGAATATTACGCGCGCTGTGATTGGTCGTTGCCCATGACTTATTTAAGTACAGACATATGGATGACGACAAAGGTAATCAAGAAAAAGGTGGTAATGATCGGAAGACAGGAGAAAAACGCGGGAACAATCAACCGGCGCCAAGAACAGATAACCAAGCAACATATGGTGATGGAAGGGTAGCGCACAACGGGTGTCAATTAATTACATACCCTGGCTAGGACTTCTCTTAGCTTTTCTTTGGCCAGTTCAGTAGAGTTCAGGGTCTGTATGCTGTAGTTATGCGCAATGTATTGATGGAGATCAGTCATGTCTACAGCAATAGTGTGCGGTCTTCTTTTAGGTTCTGTTGTACGAGTCCTCATCTAAAGTAAAACGAATTTGACAAGATAGCTCATTAAATCCGCAATACCAGACTTAACAGAATCAAACGCAAGTTCAAATATTGTAGAATGTACCAGGCGCTCAGATAGTAAAGACCACGCGAAAACAAGCTTAGCGAAAATAAGACGCGCGGTATCTGGGGAAGGAGGCACGCGCTTGAGGACTGATGGGATAAAAGCGATGTCACGTGGTTTCTCCGGGGGCAAACATGTGATAAATTTTTCCAATACTAGAAATAGCGGACGAGTTTGTTTATTCTTGAAAACAGAAAATGAACAACTTTTTATATTAAAGACGATAATGGCAAATTATGGTCGAGAGTGATCAGTTTTACTTGTTTGGATGCAGTAGCGACTGTAGATGTCCTTACAGCAAGCAATAACGACGTCAATTTTGTCGAAGCGCAAACCGTACATTGTGCATGCCTATTTAATCGTCGTTTCGTTTTAAGAGAATAATCAAAGTCGATCGCGATTTCTCGCATTTGCAAATTTTATCTTTTGTTTGCCACCTGACATACCACGTGACATTGCTTTTATCCCATCAATTCTAAAGCGCGTGCAAAGATGGCGCGTATCGTGAATAAGGTCTATTCCTTGTTCAGATACACCACCATCCGCCTTCTCTCTCCCCAGTCCCAGCTCGTCAACTACGCCTGGTAAATCAACAAACGTACCAATAAAAATCTTTTTCATCAGCAATATTAAATATTTGTTTTACTTACAATATTCTCTTTGACGAAGTCATGTTTAACCAGTTGACCCTCTCTTTCCTTAAGAAGTGCAACATAATCAGTGTTGTAAAGGGACAAGGGTGTCCACGACCGAGTTGTCTTGGGTCTAGGGTCCTCTAGCCCGTTGCCTGTACCAGCCTCTTCCATTTCGGATCCATTACTGGACTCTAGTTCTAGACGGCAAAAAAGAGCGATATTTGTCAAAGCTCTATTATACTGTTTAAACAGTTTTGAAATGGTATGGTACGGTGGCTTATACAAGCACATTTAAATATACTGTATATAGCACAACCACAATTCACGGAAAATCATGAACAGAGCGAGATAGAACGAGAGCTCACGGCAATATACCGAGAAATCACGGAAACGCAACGAGTAATCACGAAAAACACCGAAAACTCACGAAAACAAAAAGTCAACTCAAAGGGAAACACTATAAGAGCTCACAGCAAAACCAACCAAGAAATCACAGCGACACAACGAGAGCTCGCGGCAAAATATTGAGAACTCACGGAAACGCAACTAGTAATCACGAAAAAACACCGAAAAATCACGAAAACACAAAAATAACTCAAAGCAAAACACTCTGAACTTTAACCCATTCGCCCCTGAACCGCCCGTGCGGATCCAGGTCCTCCCCTTTGTGACGTCATCAGTTTTAACGGTCAAGGACAACTTTCTTCGCTAACTTGTGTAGAGTGAAGAGATCTTTCAAACCATACCAGAATAAGCACAATTCAGTCAAGGACACCGGAGAAAGAAGCAAAAAACCACGTGACATTGACCTGAAAATCTCCATGAAAATCTTGTTCCATTGCCCACCTACCTTTCCTTTCACCTAATCCTAAGATCCTAAAAGCTTTCCTAAATACTCTTCCCACCAAAATGAAGCCTACTAAATGCCCAGCAAGAGAAAAAAAAAATGAGGCAAGAAAAGCGAAAAAAGAAGGGAGGAGAAAAAGCGAAAAGTAAAAGTCAAGACTGCCTCGAAATTTTGCTTTCTGCGCATGCCCGAACTTCGCAAGCTGATGTTTTGCATCTGGATCAGGAGGCCGCCAAGTGTACGGCCTGTAAACCGGTTTGTGGTTAGTTTTAGCTCTTTATAGCAAAACAGTGACCAGAAAACCACTCGACTAGCTTCAAAACACGTTTTTCGGCAAAATCTCCAGGAGCGAATGGGTTAATACGGCAACACAACGAGAGCTCACAGCAAAACCAACCAAGAAATCTCAGCAACACAAGGAGAGCTCACGCCAAAATACTGAGAACTCAAGTAAGTGAAATAATTTGTCGGTGTCAGCAGCGAAGTGGGAAAAGGATACAACGGCAAGGACAAATAGATTTTAGCAAGGTGCGCAGGCCGTTGGAAATGTCCTGAAAAATATTTCAGGAAGATTAAGAAGGAAAAGACACCACCACACATCGGCATCATGCAGCACAGGGAAACAGAAGAACTATACGGAGGGTTACTTGCAAAAGTGTACAGGAAAAGTACAGAATGAGCCACTTCAGACCTTAACAGGTTCGTTGAGTGTAGTTCTAAATATTTTTAAGTAGAAATCAGAGACTTTAAGTGATGACCGCGCAACTCTGTCACTCTGAAGATGAAAGACCTCTTCGCAGCCCAAGAAGGACGGAGAAAAGCAGAGAGAGATGAAATCTGGAAAGCAGGATGCAAAATAATAAAGTGAGTAACAAGGTCGTATAGCAAGGAAAATTAGAACAAGAGCAGTTTAAATGAGATCTTTCGTGCCCACACGTTCCCAGGCCTCCATCTTTGGTGTTACACGCCGTGTGTCGGCCACCGGCCGTGGCACCTGGCGTTGAATAGCCTGCGAACTGCAAACGTATTTCCGGTCGTCGGAGGGAGAGAAGCGACGACCGAAAATACGTCTGCAGTCCTTAGGCTAGGCGTTGAAAGGAAAGATTGCTTTTGAGGAGGTTGTTAGACGCTTCTTATTTTTATCCTTCCCATTACACTTTGCGGTTTCTGTTTCCAACAATATAACGAGAACTAGAAACGAGAGCGACTTGTAAGTGTTTTATGCGCTGGAGGTCATCATTGGCAGCCCATCTTCTATGAATGATTACATAATTCTTCCAAGTGGAGGTTTTATAAACACACATGCTCCTTAGAAGAGTTACACATGATGTTATCAAGGTATGACCACAAATCTTTAAGTAGAGACATGCTTACATGTGTCTTTAACCAGGGTTTATTATAGAAATTGGCCAATGAGGGTCAAATGGGTCCCCTTCTGTAATTTTAGGGGGCCCTTTTTTAAGAAAGGGCACGAAGGTTTATTGACTCTTTGCCGCCATTTTGGAACATTCTGGGCAACTGAAAAAGCCTGGGCTCGAATTACTGCAGAATCGCGGATGTTTGTCTTTTGAAATAATGACTCTAACAAAGAGGAGAAAGACAATTGATACAGTAGGAGGCTATAGAAGTTCAAAGTAAATTTATAGAGCGGCCATCAAATCAGTGTTGTTGTCAGTGATGCTTTCTAATACTTAAAAAAAAATAGTGCTTATCCTTGGGTCTTTTTTTTGGCGCCTCATTTAACGCGGCAAGGAAAATTTTATGCGGCATTTTGTTTCAAATTGCGGAAATCCCGCAAGGCCGCGCTCTAGAATAAACCCTGTTTGACCATGATAATAACTTAAATCACAACTCTGAGAAACTGTGAAAAAAGAAAATTACTTCCAAGAAAGCCAAGCTTAAGCGTGTTTTTCACTTCCTTTCTTTTGCTTTTGCAAGGTGACTGAAAAGCCGTGAGAAGTGCAGCAGCCCTATTTGCTCCTCATCGACTTCTGTAAACGCCATTAGAAATGCAAAACTACTGCTCGAGATCTACAAGTCACCTACCTCCGAAATCCTCTGCAGTCAGCGGCACTCCAAACTCTCGGCTTATAGACACAATCATGTCAGCTGAAGGAAATAAGTCATTACGAGTCACCTCTCGGAGTTTGGTGACTCTTAACATCTGCAAGAAATATGTGGCGATGACTGTTAAGCAACAACACTGACTATAAACTTGTTCCCAGCGTCATCTTAAGAGAGAGGGCCTTCATAATAAGGTAGAACAGTAATAAGGATTAGTTAGAAACTGAGGAAACTACCCGCATTAAGGGGTGTTTAGAGAGTAAAGTAATTGATGTAAGTTAGTAAATTTAAACCAGGTCTGTGCTCTAGCAGAGCCAGGTGGTCCCTGGCGCCCAACTTTTGCTCCTGGACGACTAAAAAATCTCAGATTTTTCATACAAATGATATGCTGGACACTCTAGATTTACAGGTTCAGAGCACTGGGCAACCTTCAATTTTCCTTAGAGCACAGCCTTGTAAACACTGTAGTGTAACGGATATCATCACCACAAACTGAGGCCATGTCAACAAGAATTCAGGCATTTTTGAACCAGCATAATTTTTATCCGGATTCGTGTCGACCGTAGTCTCTTTAAGGGTCGTCACGCAACCCTCCTAGGAGCGTTGCGTGATGACCCTAAAACGACTGCGAAGGAGACTATGTGGACGGAAACTGAAGGAGAGCGCTTTTAAAACAATATGGTTACGGTGACCGGATTAACTGGTTTCGCGTGAACGGTGGGCAGATTGGTGTTTAAAAGTATGCGTTTTCAAAAAATACCCGGATTCATGTAGACGTAGCCTAAGTATGTCTTAGAGACCTTTAGATTCGAGGACGAGAACGACTACGAGTACAAGATTTGACTTAATGTTTTGTCAGGTATTTTCAAAACATAGACTCCCCGGAAAGTGTCATTTTACCATTTTTCACTGGAAACGTTAGCTCTGTTATCTTTATTGAAGGGGGTTACGCTCTTTCCCGATCGCAAAATGATAAAAGTTCTAACATTTGATACTTTGTTTTCGCCACAACCACATACGAGCGCTAAAAGGCTCGTAGTGGAATGACGACGACTACCACGTTTTCCCGCCTAAATGACGCTAGTTCTCGCGCAAGCACTACTTAGTATTCAAATCTCATACTCGTAGTCGTAGACTCTAAAGGTCTCTACTGTAACGACTTTTCCTGCAATTGCAGACAGGATATATAGCTATTTTATGAAGGTCACTCAAACAAATCATTGTAGTCAGTTCCGTCTGCTCACAAGCCCAATGCTCAATTACCAATAACACATTTTCAAAATAACCCTAACTGAGGATATTACAAGGCCGCGCGGAGCTACGAAATTTCTCTTCTCTGAAATACCAATCCTTTTCAATTTAATAGTTCTCTTGTCGTTAAAGGCGCGATTTGTTATGTAGCCATAGCAACGGGCATCTTCTCACGTGCGAAGATAACATTTTATTTTCAAACGTGAAGATAATCATGTTTTCGCGCTAAAGCTCACCTGGTATTTCACTGGTGGTTATTTTATAACACCTATGTTAGTTACTACATAATAGTGCATGAAAAATTACGTAAGTATTTCGCAACAATATTAAATCTGTCGCTTCCAGTGCTTAATAGTCAGGTTTTTTCCAGACCTTACCTGGTCGAGTTTGGCCAATGGTTCGAAGCAGGGTTTCGGTACCAGATCCCTAAAGTACAGTAATGGATTTTGAACTATGACCTCGAGTGGCTCGTGAAGTCTAACTCGGCACAAGTCTACGTCGAGCGCTGCGTACAACCGCTCGTGAAACCGCAGAGCAGAATTGTAAAGGACGTTAAACTTGCTGGTATCTAAATGGCGAAGCAAAAGAATGACCAACATCAATTTTCTCCTAACACTATCCATACATCATCTAGAGAAAATGTCATGAGAATTTATGAAATGATCACCTGAGGAAAAATGCATTGATCCTTTATCAAATTCTCTCAAATGTATGTAATTCTTTGTGGAATAAGCTGAGATCAGTCTGGAGAATTTGTATGTGGATATTGGGGCCTACCTTCTTCCCGCGGTCTGGGTAGTTTATCCCAGAGTTTTTTGATGGCCAGACCTTCTAAAACAAACACGTGGTACTGTCAGTATCAAGAACTTGAAATCCAGTTTCAATGTCTAAAGTTTTGCTCTTTCGCTGATCTCTGCGGAGAGACAGTAACCAGACTAATTGATTACGACTGTAGAACTCTGTCTGCTTAGTTCCCAGTCGCTCGCGTTCACTTCCCATCACCCCCTGCGCTCTGCGCTCGTTCTCATCATTCCCCTCTCGCCCTTCTTGCTTGCAAGCCTTGGGAAAGCCTGTGGAGAAAGCAAGAATTCTGTGATAACCACAGACCGCCTAACCTTCAAATTTTTCGGATGAGTGTTTTTTTTTCCTCCTTAAATTTAAACCGCGAAACGACGAGAGATTTCTCGCTTGCAAAGTACGAGCCTCGTACGCGTGAAGGCTCCTCCAAGTCCCGCTTTTCGGCTATTTTAGTTCTGGAGTAGCGTGCAGTGCAGGCGTATTTTGGGGGGGCGAAAGCTGCTTGTTTATGATCGTACCGTTGTAACCGCCATCTTTGACCATTTTCTCCTCTCATTTCGAGTTTCAACATGGCGCTTTCTTGAGCAAAAAATTCGCGCGCCTAAAGTCTGGAGTGAATATATGGTAAAAATGCAGCAAAGCAGCTGGAAGTTAAATATCAGAATCAGACATAAATCCTCCAAGAATATTTTTGTGGTGTTCAGAAGGGACTGAGTAAGTCCTTTAAAATGTTTTTTTTTTTTTGGCTTTCCCCTCAAAGATACCTTCTAGTTCTAACCTTGAAAGTTTGTACGTTGACAAAGCAGCCTCGATCACATGTTACGGCAGTGTGTCTAGTTCCAGGGCCCCGGCATTGACCGCTGTAATTTCAAACTGCAGTTTGGCGAAGAAACAGCGCATTTTTGTACTCAAACATGTAAATTATACGACCAAAGGGGCACTGCGAAAAGATTAAATAAGCACGTTAAACATATCGCATGGTTGGTCTCCAAAGTCAAACAAACCAAGAGGGATTAGCTTAACATAGAGGGCAGCGCGAAGTTACTTCAAGTTGCACATATACAGCCAAAGATTCAAAAGAAATCCGACCTTCCAGCACATGAATACAGCATACCAGTCCACACGAAGATTAACGGTGATAATATATTAATATTGTATCATTGTGAATAAGAGGAGGGAGGAAGCCTTAAAGAGGAGGGGGCGCAGTGACATTCTTCTCCTAAAAGGGGAGGGGGGTGGGGGCGGATAATTAGAAAGGGAGGCTTAATAGAAGATTTACGGTATTATTAATGAACTCCGACTTCAGTATCAAGGGCACCACTGGCTGTTGCTGCCGTCGGTCCATTTATTAGCTTACTGTATTGTATGCGTGATAGATAAAATAATATTCATCCTTATTACCAACAGGACGCTGTGTGAGCGTATATTTGGGCAACGATGTACTAAGCGTGTGTGAAGATTTTTACGTGTATTATGGATGTGTAGGATGTCTGAGTAGGTCTGTAGCGTTTTGTGTTTCAGGGGTTGGTTGAGATTCAATTAGTGAAACTGGTTTCTCGTAGAATTTCTTGTGAAGTAACAAAGAATGATTTTTTGGAAGTTAGGGCCTGTCTACAAGGAGAGAGGGTTACCCTTGTGCTAGGGTTACCCTAGCAAACGGGTTTAAGTTAGTTTTTTTTTTACAAACAAATTTCACGGGTAGGGTTACCCTACCATCCGGGTCAACTTTACCAGCTTTGCTGACGTGTTTCGTCATGCGTGACATTCTTTGTAAAGTTCCAACATTTGAAATATCTTGAAGTTCTCTATACACTGGACGAAAAAACGGATTTACCCCTATAGCAAATTTGGAGCAAATCCGTCTGCAAATGCCACATTTGCTTAATTTTGCTCAATTTTGCCTTATGACGTAGGACCAACTTTGCCATAATTTTGCATTAGTGGCAAAGGTGGTAAATGCCGAATTTGCCTCAAATTTGCCCCGTGTGTAAAAGCAAGGATAACCTTTACTTTATCAAGGCATTTACAGGGGTGTCAAACGTGATAGCAAAACTGACATTTGTCAGGTTTTTGCCCAAATGGGCAAAAGCGATCGAAGATGAATTTTTGAACGCTTTTGCTCTCTATAGCAAATTCGGTCAAAGTAGTAATTTCCCACATTTTTGCTCAGGATAGTAAATCTGAGCAAAAATTAACTTTATTTGTGTTTCGCCCAGTGTAGTAAATGAGGCCAAATTATCACTTCTTCCGTACGTATCTTTGCTCAGTGTGGCAAATATGTTCAAAATAGTCGTTTGCCACTGTTTTGATCAGGGTAGCAAATTTGGCCAAATACCACTTTATTCTCAATTTTGCTCAGGATGGCAGATATGATCAAAACAGTAGTTTCCCATACTTTTCCCCATTGTAGCAAAGTTGATCAAATATCAGTTCTTCTGTATCTTTGCTCAGGATGGCAAATATTGCCATGATAGCAGTTTTCCATACTTAAGTAAGGTAAACAAAGTTGATTAAAATATCACATTTTTACACTTTCGCTCAAGATAGCAAATTTGATCAAAACATCATTATCCACATGTTTCTTATTTTTATTTGGTACCATAAATGACTGACAAACAATTTAGACACCAAACAAAACTTCAAGAATAAAATGACTTTATTATCTTTAATATACACTGTACAATAAAAAGCAAGATAAATTAAAAGAAAGTTCCATTGGCCTCTGCAGGGCACTGCATGTACCACAAAATATATGCCTTTAAATAAAAAGCACATACAATGTGAAACTAACTAAATTCATACGTGTATAAGAATGAACATTGGGTTTGAAAGTACAAGTCAACACTAGCTGGTTCATAATTATCTAAGGTTGGTACAGTAAAACGTAACTCCATTTGAGTGGTATACTTCAAATATACTCTTTCTAGATTCAATTGATACTATTGGTAAATGGTTGTACGATGACAACACGTACACATCACTCCCAGTGTAGATGTGACATCCTTACTAATGGACAGAACATCAACCGCAGGAAATAAAATTAGCCTCAAA